CAATTGATCCAACCTCAGTGCGAAATTCCTTCCCAGAGGGACACAAATGCAGAAACAAGGTGTTGCCTCACCTATATTGGACCAATGGGCATGTAACTTCGTTTGGGACCCCGAGCCATGTGGGGTGCGCCTCAACCAGGTGGAGCATGACCCTAGGGACTCCTAGGTTGTCCTCCCACCGTTAAAAATAGCTAGGTACCCCTTTAGGGTTTCTTGGGTTTTGTTTAGATGAAAGTTTAGCCATTGCTACTTTCTTGCAGTGCGCGTGTCTGCTAGACCGTTCGTGTGCTTGTATTCGAAACACCAACTTACCGTGTGTATTCATTTCTATCTGCAATTCAGATTACTTTTATCTTGTTATTGCTTGTTTCTTCGATTTGTTTGCAGGAATAAGGTTGATCTGCACCGGCAAGATCAACAACCCATGGAGAGGTGTATCGATCGCAAAGGCGCAACACAACATCTCGTACAGTTGTAGTCAGGTCGTTAATGTTTCTTCCAAATCTTAGTTATCTGAACTCACCGAAAGATCAAACCAACAACAGCGTTGAGTTTCGAGTGGAATTCAGGGTGGATTTTAAAGATTAAACAGGCTAGCAGAGCCGATTTAGGTATCAAAACCAGCCACAAGGCTGATTTAGATCGAATTGAAGATAACCACCCGTCTCATGGGCGAATGAAAGGTTTACGGGGCAAACTTAATTACAAAGGGATAATTGCACTCTAGCAGCAAAGGTGAACAATTTACGATGCAAATCGATAAAGATGGACTGAACTAGGGTAAATTGGAAAATGTGGCTAAAAAATAAAGGTAAAAGAACGATTTGATTGTGTCGGGATTGAGAGATTGTTGAGGGGTTTTTAATCAAACCAGGCTTAGCCCTTGTTAAGGGGTTGATCTTGCCTTCTATAGGTTCTCCTCGACATCTAACTCAGGGTAGAAACCAATGAAAACCCGAAGCATACATTCCTGAGCAAGCAAGCCCAAGACCCGACGAAAACAGCTCGGAGTCAAACTATGTCGGTCTGATCGGCGGTCACATGCCGCTGGTTAGACCTGCCCAACATATCGGTCAAACTAGTCCATAGGCGACAGTTATACTGGCCCCGTGAAGGAAACCCAATGCCTTCAAAATTTTGACAATGTTTTCATATTTCGAATCTTGGTATCAAATTTAGGCGTAATTAGTAACTATCTACGTTCATCTCCACTTGACAAGGCTAAATCCTAAAGGGGCCATGTTTCCGATACTACACGTTTATAATCCCCTTAAATTTTGTTTTTTTTTTGTTCATAACCATCATTTATGGAGTGAGGCACAAGCAAAACAAATTGATCTAATTTCTTGTTGCGTCAGTGTTCGTGGCCAACGTACATGACAGCGACCAAGCCTTGTGCACACCTACTCCCTCCATCCCACTTTAAATGTTTCTGTACCTAACGTTTAACCGTTAGTCTTATTTAAAATTTTTTATAGTTAGTGTATTTTTGTTGTTATTAGATGATAAAAAATAAATAGTACTTTATATGTGACTTATTTTTTAAAATTTATTTTATAAATTTTTTAAATAAAACGGATGGGTCAAACGTTGGGTACGGAAATCCACGACTGCACTTAAAATGAGACAGAGGGAGTACTAGTACTTGATTAATCAAGCTTTATTTTGTAGTAGTACTAGTATACTCAGTAATAGAAATCTAGGACTGAAGATGAAGATGAATATGAAGATTAAGTTATTTTACGTAAAACAAGTTGATATTAACGTTTGATTGATTGAGTTTTAATTATTACATATTTAAAAAATAGATTAATATGATATTTTAAAGCAACTTTCATATAGAAAATTTTCGCAGTTTAAAAAACGTGTCACGAAATTTTTTTTTATCCGACTTTTCTTGGAGAAATGAACGGGAAACATAGAGGTCCAAGTTGCAGCAGCAGTGTCAAATGTGCGCATTAATTTTTAGGCCTACCAAACTGCTACTGACCTGACTGTGACATGGAAACCATAGTTGTTTTTATTTGTTGTACCTACTTCGAACAGAAACTTTTGGGGGGGGGGGGGGGGGGGTGGAGGGGGTTTGGTTTGGTTTGTAGCAAGGGAGCTTCTCTGAAGCCGAGAGGCGAGAGCTGATCAGATTTCTCTGAAAACGAGGCAGGAACGAACAAATTGCCGTTGGTCCTGAAATGCCAATGTAAACCAACCGTCTTCTTGTAACATTATTCACCTAATTTTTGCCATTCTATTTCAAACAAAACACAATGCCGTTGTTGTTCGGGCCATGTAAATTGTTTGCTGGATTTCACTAAAAAAAATTGCGAGCTGTATTTCGTAAAAGATTTGTGAGCTGCAGGATTTCATAAATTCCAGAGTACTTGGCATGCCTTGGGCAGACAGCACGTATGTTCAAAGCAAAGACGTTTCTTGCATGCTTTCTCTCTGGACCAACAATAGTGGCATGATTTTCGTTTCCCCCTTGTGCAAGAATGACACAGCATTCTTCGTGCCAAAGGTTGGGCATGCCTTTACTTCATTCTCCTACACTCCATCAACGTTTCCTATTTCTTTTACAGAATTCTCTTTGAAAATACTAGATGTTTTAGCATTTGAATCTTGAATTTTTAAACATTAAGGGCCCATTTGAATCGTAAGATTGAGAAAACATAACAATAGAAAAAACATAGGATTTTGATAGGAATGTAAAACAGAGAATTGCAAAACGCAGGAAAAACATAGGAATGACCGTTTGATTGAACCGCAGGAAAAACATAGGAATTGGATGAGAGAGATAGACTTAAAGAAAAGTTACCAAGAGATTAAAGCTCTTGCTAAATTTCCTCCAAAATCTCTATAGAATTGTCCATTCTATAGGAATTTCAAAGGATTGGATAAGATTCAATCCTTTGTTTCAAAGGGCTTCATAGGAAATTTTCCTATAGGATTGAAATCCTAGGGCCCCTTTGAATCACAGGAATGAAAAAACGGAGGAATAGGAAAAACATAGGATTCTGACAGGAATGTAAATGTAAAACAGAGGATTTGCAAAATACAGGAAAAACATAGGAATGACCGTTTGATTGAACCTCAAAGGATTTCTTCCATGAGGTACTACCCCTTGTTAAAATTCATCTAAAACTTGTATGGGAAGAGGCATTCCATAGAAATTTCATAGGATTCCATAGGATTCATTCCTTTGATTCAAAGGGCTTTGTAGGAAAAATTCCTATAGGAATAAAATCCTCTAAAATTCTGAATCAAAGGGGGCCTAAAATTACTATGTTTTTCCTCCAATTCAAAGGGACCCTTAAGATTTCTAACATTATTCATAATACTAGTTGTCCCATCAATTTTCTCCACTTGAAATTTCTCCTAATCTTATCCCACCTTCCTCTCACGCCATCCATCCCTTATTTTTGGAGCGGTGCTGAAGTTTTTTTATATTAACCTTTGATCTATACTGCACAAACTAAAATACTTATATTCTAATTGTGAATTTGTAATGGCGAAGAAAAGGAAAAAAATGTAAGTATTTCTAGTTTGTGTACACACGCGCGCACACACATCCAGAAACTTGTGTACACACGCGCGCACACACATCCAGAAACGTCACGATCTGATACAAACAGTAGTGTACGTCTACACGAACATGATTATGTTATGGAGAGTAGGAAACTAAGGGAAGAGGTTATGGGATAGCTACGGTTGACCTTGTAGTGACTGGCGCAAAGTGGCCAGATCAAGGGCACACAAAGTCTACGAATTCCGCCAATAAATCGGCATCACTGACATACTGGTTGAGTCCTGAGTTGATTCCAGATAAATTTATGCCCGATACATGTGCCAGCATCTGCACATATGTTTCTGGAGGAAAAAAAATGTAGCATAATGATCTACCACTCCGTTCGTGAGAAATATGACTACTCAAACACACGTGCTCCAAACAATTTTACATATAAGGGCTATTGCAGGACCCAAAAAAGCAAAGAATAAAAAATACACTTGATTTTAATAGAAACATAAGTACAAAACACAAAAAAGATGCATAAATTATTGTTCGAATAAACGGTAGAAAAATACATGAATCGATAAGAATGAATGACTATTTTTTTTTTTGAAAGGTTGGAGCTCATATTAACTTTCCTCAGTATATGAATCAATATTTTGTTTCAAGTATTTTCGTAAGAATTTTTTCTGTAGAATTAAAATCCTCTAAATTTGTTATGGTTTCCTAATATAAATAAAAGGGGGACTTAGTTTGCATGCGTCCATCCAAGTGACGGCATGAAGAGCATGGCGTGGCTTGTGATTAATCGTGTGTTTCATACTAACGGCTACAAGATTGTCTTGGCTGATCTCCTCTTCTCGTTGCCGGGTCACCCTCTTGTGATTAATCTTTTCGCGTGATGCATACGATACTGAAAAGGTGAGGCTAGCTTGCCAATTTCTTATGGGAAATTCATGCATTCATCATCGTTCCATTTTCTAGTCTCTTTCCCTACCAAAAGACAGCAAGAAGGTTCTAGGAAAAAAGAAAAAATAAAGATAAAAGGAGAAGGTCTTTCTCTATATCTCCCTGTCTGCCTCTCAAGAAAAGAGAAGAAAAGAGAGAAGGTATTCGATTGCCCAAAACTAGTTACGACTTACCTGTCACAGCTTTCTTGCAGAGCCCGGTTAGTTAGCCTGTGCTTTTCAATTATTAGTGATCTTTTCCTTAAGCTGAAAGCAGGCAGCAGGCGGGTGCATATACAGCAGTTCACCAGTGTTGGACAGAGCATCGAATCCATTTTCCTTCTCCACGAACACTTCCATGCTGGCACGTCCGCACCAGCTAAGCCCCTTCAACGCTCGGGATGCAGATTCGTTTAACAACCATTTGTTCAATTTATTAGAGGAGATTGCACATGTCTGAAACAACTCTCAGATTTGGATCTTTCTTTCATCGCCACTTTGTTTTGTTTGGGTGACCAATTTGATGTTTTAATAATTAAACACCATAGTTTAGTTTGGCTCCGTATTAGTAGAAAAGAATGTATAGTGTTGAATGGGCTGGCGAAGTGAAGAAGTGTAAGAAGAACAAAAAAATCGAACATCTTTGGTGTGTAATGCCTATGCAAATTGTTACAAACCCAAAATGGACAACCCAACCAATTACCAATATGCGAAAAGCTTCCACCGCCTCGCCAACAACTGATGGTTCTCCTCCGGTTAAGATCATCATCATCTCTTTCAAGCAGCAGTACAATATACTAGTATCCGTTCTTGTTCCTCGTCGTGTCGTCTCGTCCCGGCATATACATTGATGTGTGCCATGAGCTGCCTGCGATTATTGGGATAGACGAGTTACTGCTGCAGCCTGTCGAGCGCCTGCAGCAGGATTGGCCGGAACCTGGTGAGGTTGACCTCGACGTCCTGCTTCATGATAGTCGCGGCGAGTGTCTGCCATCCCTGTGCGTGGAGCGCCTTGGGGTCCTTGAACACCATGTGATCTCGCGAGTAGTTGTGCTTCAGGCTCGTCTCCTCCTCGCCGACGTAGTACTCCACGTACCGGAGCTGCATGTCCCTCGCCGGCTGCCCGTAAAAGTTGGTCGCCATCCAGTCCATGTTCCCCCACGGCACGATCTGCACCACCACGGCCTCCGCCGGGAGGAAGATCTGGTTCGTCAGCCCGGCGCCGTGCACGGCCAGCAGCACGTCCGCCGAGTTCACCAGCGCCGCGAACGCGGGCACGTCAGCACCGGCCTCCGCCACCGTCACGTTGAAACCAAGCTCCGTCGCGGCCGCGGCCACCTCCTCGAGGTTCAGCAGCTTGCGCGTGCCGGCGCGGGAGATGATCAGCATCCGCGGCCGCATCCCGGGCTCCTCGCCCAGCACCGACGGGCGGTCGCGCCGGAGCTCCAGAGCGTCGCGGAGGAAGCGGTTGTAGTCCACCATGGTGTAGTTGCGCGGGTTGCGGGTCGGGTGCGGGGAGATGATGAGGTCGCGGTCGCGGTACAGACCGAGGTACCCCTGCGGGAAGCAGTGCACGCCGGCGTCCTCGTCGAAGTTGATGACGTCGTAGTTGGACAGCTTGCGGAGCAGCGGCGTGTACTTCTGCACCCACCACGGCTTGTAGTTGGTGATGAGGATCTGGACCTCGCCCTTGAGGTGCGCCGTCGTCAGGAATAGCGGGATCATGGCATCGGTCATGTCGTGGAAGAAGTTGTCCGTGTACCCGGCCACGGAGAACACCACGGCGGGGACGGCGTGCTGCTTCGTGCACTTGGGGGCCGCCGCCTCGGAGGGCACGGACTTGATAGTCACCTCCACCACGCCCGGGAGGAGGAAATCGTCCTTGCGGGCGTAGGGCCGGAGCCGCTTCTCGCCGTTCTCGTCGAAGCCGCCGGCGCCCGACGGGTTCACGACGTAAATGGTCTTCTGCTTGGGGCTGACGCGGACGTCGCCGTACAGCTCGCAAACCGACGGCCGCGCGTACGGGAAGCCCTCGTCCACGCCGTTCTCGTCGCACTTTATCTTGGTATCACCACCCGCCGCCACGCCGTTCTTCTTCTCGGCTGAATTAACCAAACCAACGAGACTGAATTACCATCAAATCCCCAATAAAACACCGCCCAGATCTCGTGCGTCTCTACCAAATCCAAACGAGATTGATTGCTTGCTTGCGCTCAACAACAACTGGGGACTTGCTCTACTGTAGCTTGCTCTGCCTTCCAGTAAAGGTGCGCAAATAAAAGGGAGCGGAAGAAAGAGGCAAGATTTCCTTACATTGCTTTATCTCCGAGGCCGCCGCCGCCGCCGCCCTCTCCGCATCATCCTCCTTCCTCGAGAGCGCCGCCGGCAAGCCAGGCTCCTGAGATTCCGCCGAGGGGAAGCCGGGTTCTTGAGGCTGCGCCTCCACCAGCGACTTGTCCTCAGGGAGATCGACGGGGTCCACAGTGCTGTCATTGTTTCCGGCGCCAGCTGCAGTTTCTTGGGGCGGAATGGGTCCCGTCTCCGGCGAGGATGGCGGCGAGTTCTGCATCAGAGCGGATGTGTTGGCTGTGCTGGCTGAAAACGGATTCAAAACAGCTCCCATTAGACTAAATCAAAATGGATTGGATTCGAGAGACAACGCGGGAGGGGATTTAACCAAAAGTAAGCTCCTAGGGCGGATCGGGATTAGGGGAGCACGCACCGAACACAGGGGAGTAGATTGCGAAGAGCTTGGCAAGGGAGACGTAGGTGAGGAGCGCGAGGCAGCAGCCGGCGAGGAGGCCGACGCCGAGCTTCTTGGGCTCGATCTTGGTGGTGAGGCCCCTCATCAGCCGCGGCGGCAGCCTGCGGTCGCTGCCGTTGCCGCCGCCCGGCAGCTTCGACGGCCGGGAGTACGCCGTCGACGTCATCCCCGACGAAATGCTGTATGAATCAGGAGAGCGTGCGCACGGAGGAGGAAAGGGGAAGTCAAAGAAGGGAGGAAGGGGAGAAGGGGGGAGGAGGTCGAGTTGCTAAGCCTGAGGCATTTGTAGCAGCAAGGTTGGGAATTGATTTTTCTTTTCTTTTTTGTTTTCCCTCTCTCTCTCTCTTCCTTTTTCTTTGTTTTTTAAGATGTGACGATTGAGTATTTGTTGCGTATTTGGGTTTAGAGAGATCGGTGAGGATGGGGGTGTGTGTGGTAGGAACTGAAAGCAGCGGTACTGCTTCCTCCTTTTTGACTAACTGGGACAGGACGCGCAGACACTTGGACTGCTCACCTAATCTCCCCTCCGGAGTGTTTTACATGTGGCTCTTTTTCTCTTTCTTTCTTTCGAGGGAATGTGGCTCTTTTTTTCGTCTACACGTATTATTAGTTGGACATTGAGAGCGTATTTTTTAAGTTTATTTTCATGTACTGGTAATCTGGTATAGCTAGGCTAAATGTAATGTGTTTAGTTTACACCAGAATTAAAAGTTTGGTTAAAATTGGACCGATGTGATAGAAAAGTTAAAAGTTTGTGTGTAGAAAAGTTTTGATGTGATGGAAAAATTGAAAGTTTGAAGAAAAACTTTAGATCTAAACACGGCCTTATTTACTCTACATGTAGGTCTGTATACCTTTATGGCCTGTTCTTCTATTTACTTTTTCAACTTATCTCTCTCATTTTCCACGTGTACGCTTTCCAAACTACTAAGTGATATGTCTTTTGTAAAAGTTCTCTAGGGAAATTATTTTTAAAAATAATATTAATCCATTTTTAAGTTAATACTTAATTAATTATATGCTAATGAGTGCTTCATTGTACGTGTCGTAACCCGTCCTCTTGAACACAGCCTAAAAGTTTCAGCTTGACTACTTCATTGATTTCTGTTAGCACATTTTTCAAACTTTCTATTGGTCTATTTGGGGGAGTTTAATATTCTGAGAATGAGCTGGTTGGTACCCAGCTTTTGATATTCTAGAGAATTTATTTTCTAGATTCTAGAACTACTTAGAATATGGACGAAGATCTTGGACCGTAAAAACTCCCCAAACATATCCTATATAATTAGTTGTTTTGAAAAAATAAAATAATTTGATGGTTTTAATAATTAATACTGAATTAATCAGATGCGCCCATGTTTCAGGTGTAGCTAATCAGCTATTTCCAAATGCGCTTTTCGAGCCCTTATAACCCCTTACGAATGGAGAAAATTATAGGAAAATATAGGAATCCCTATGAGATGATTGTATATGCAAAATAGAGTAATGAAAGACATAAGAAAAATATGTGATGGTTTTCGTTTGTTTGGAACATAGGAAATGAGGAGTTGTAAAGAATTTAGATGGACGATGGTGGTGTGCATTGGTGGCACGACCTCCCTAGAGGCATTGTCTATGAGGTCTTCCTTCCTCACCTTCTCTTAGCTCAGTCCTTAACATGTACTCCCTCCATTTTTTTTTTGCAGGGAACCCTCCATCTATTTTTGATAGTCATATTTCATCTTGACACACAGACTAAGGATAAATAATTCTACTTATCATCCATTTAAACATGCTACTAGTCATTTCTCGTAAGCAAGTGATTCATTAATATTTACATTTCTCAATGCCTATGTAGCCAATCATGTGTGGAAGAATGGAGAGTCACGCATTAAATCTAATAAAGTCATTAAGAGGATAGATTGTTGGATTGAAATATGCCTATCAAAAATAAATTTTTCAGATTTGGAAATATGACTATCAAAAATAGATGGAGGGAGTATCTTGGATCTTGGATCTCATCACCAGGTTGGCACGAGAGACAAGTAGATCTTCACTCTCATCCTCTCCCTCCTTCAAGCCTTCTACGTGAAATCAGTGTCACAGATATAATCCGCAAGCGCACGGATATACCATTGTAGCATTTCACTCGAGAGTATTCCAATATATCGTATTTATTTAATCCCAATGGAAGATATGATAAGAGAGTACTATGCTAATAGCTATATATTACTTGTATATATCAAAGTCTATGTAGGGGTTAAGTGATTCAAAAGGTAGGTGACAAACAGAAGAAAGAACTAAGTTTCCCTCATTAAATAAATACTAAGCTAAGTGGAGAAAGAATAAGAAAAGAATTCATGTGGGCCCCACAGTTCTAAGAAAATTAATTAATTTTTATATTTTTGCTTTTAGTGACACGTCACGGCCACGTAGGAGGACCAAGTCAAACTTGTCACGTAGGTGCTATGTCAGCCAAAACCGTCATCCAAACCGCCTTGAAATTTATTTGTATTGTTTGAAGTTGAGGGGCACATCGTATGTGGTATTGCAATTTGGGATGAATTTTAAACTCGGCAACAAATTAAGGGATGTAAAGTGAACTTATTCCTTCTCCTAATCGTCTTCCATGGGCTGCAGGAGCGCCAATGAGCGTCGAGCCGCCGCCGGCCCATTCTCTCCTCTGCTTGCCTCCTAGAGTACTACTTTTAGGTAGAAGCAATGCAACCAGCCCAAGACCACAGGATTGGTGATGAGGAAGGCTACGGCCTACGGCGGCAAGCCGATCCCAATTGCCAAGCCGGTGATAGACTAGGATGTGGTGATCGATGAGCTTTCGCCAGGGTCAGTTGCGAACATGCACCAGATCGCACGGAAGATGGTGGATGTAAGCTTTGGCCGCGAGTGCGCCGAGGTTTACGCCGCCGCGCGTCAACTAGATCGTTTGCCTCGGTATCCGCCCACGCAGAGGATGCAAGAGCAGCAGAAGTTGGCCATTTCGAGTTGCTCAGGCAAAAGTTCTTCATCCTCTCTCTCTCGTGCTTGTCGCACGAGTGGGATGTCAAGGGTGAAGGTGACATGGAGCAAGCGAACTGACGGAGATAATCGTTTGGACTTTCAAGCTCGGGAATGAACGGAGCTGGGGCGGAGGAGCAAAGTTCCAGGAAGACAGGTCAGGAGCTGCGCAAAGTCGTTGAGGACCGCAATGGCAGAGGATAGAGAAGAACTGGTCTAAAGTGAAATATTATGCAAACTTCCCTAGTCGAGACTAGTGAAAACTGTCCTACCCAAGTCTAACTTGGAACAAAGGTAAAAAAAGATGGTCCAGGGTGTGTGTTTAGTTCACATTAAAATTGAAAGTTTTGACGAAATTAAAACGATGTGACGAAAAAGTTAAAAGTTTGTGTGTGTAGAAAAATTTTAATGTGATAAAAAAATTAGAAGTTTGAAGAAAAAGTTTTTAACTAAACTCGGCCCAAGATGCAATTTATACCCTAACAAAATTGGTCGGGATGCTCCTTCACTACCGACACAGCAAAAAAAATTGTATTAAGTGTACAAGAAATAGTTAATCCAAATTATATAATGTCTGTCATAAGTTAGTTTTTCCCGTGCAAGGCACATGCAATTTGCTAGTGAATCAAATTAAGAGAAATCCAATCCAACGTAACATTGTGCAGGTAACAATATTAATGGTTCAACTAAGATGCAGACTAAGTCAAGACTCCTATACAAATACAAAAGCTCTACATCCTTGATTCTACTAGCCCTCCCTTCTTGGTATACATAGTATAATTTCTATATCTATATCTATATACTAATATAAAAAAGAGGAGCTGTACCTCTCCAATCCTACTGGGGAAATCACCCGAATCAAATCTCTACCGTCCATCCGTCATCTGATTTAATCTCATACGTCCGCTATCCTCCTAACTGTGCGCAGCGATGAGCGATTCCACCTATTCAGAAATCACGCGATGACTACGCCGCACAAATCCCCACCGCCTCCTCCGCCCCCTCGCTCCTCCCCGCCGCGACAACTTCGCCCCCAAAATCGCCCCCGCCTCCTCGCTCCTCCTCGCCGCTGCCTCCTCGCTCCTCCTCGCCGCCCGGCGAATCCCCGCGCCTCCTCGCTTCTCCTCCACACCCACGAATCCCCGCCGTCTCCTCGCTCCGTGCGCATCCTCCCTCCTCCTCGCGACGGGGCAACGAGGTCGTCCCCTTCCGCTGCCACCCCCGCTGCCCACGCCGGAGATTAGGTCATCCCCAGCCACCGCCGGAGCCGTGGTCTTCCCCGGAGCCGACGTCGTCCCCAGTTGCCGCTGGAGCCGAGTTCTTCCCCATCCGTGGTGGCCGCCGAAGTCCACCGCTGCCCCCGACGAAGTCGAGGTCTTCCCCAACCGCGGCCTGCCCCCGCCAGCGCTTGAATACACTCAACCGATCCAACATCCTCCACTTGCGCCGGCGAGAGCCTTCCTCCACTCCAGCGCCTCACCGTACACTCCACCGCAGCTCGGTCATCCTTAGTCGCACACCGATACACGAAGGCGAGGTCGGAGCCCCTGGTGCCGCCACGAGCGAGAGGCAATTCGCCGTTGCGGCCGCGCTCGTCGTGCAAATACCGGAACGCAAGTGGTCCCTTTCCTGCCGCCGCAAGCGAGCAGTTGCGTCGCTACATGCACCCCCAAGGTCTTCCTCCACCGATCTGTCCTGTAAGTACAACGATTGGCTACAACTCTTGTTCATCGCAATCCCTTTTCTTGTTCCTTCTAGCTTTACAAATTTTGAGTGAGATTGAAGGCGACCTGTCCGGGTTCAGGTTCTGCTTGGCGCATATGTTCTGCATGAATACAATACGCAGAACAAACTCATGATTGGTTCCTCGGCCTTGCTAGGAACATGCAAATGCTGATGTGATGTTTTGGTTGCTCAGATCCATCAGTGGGATTTCATCAACGACAAACATTGATAGTGGTTCTGACAAATATTCATGTATAGTGGTTCGATCTACATCAGGTAGTACTCTGGATCGATTGAATGCTCAAAAAAAATATTTTAATCAACATTTGTGATCTGAATGTAATAAAGTTTATCACGACTCACCTTTGCAGCTCGGCCCGGTAATGCAGGAAGCTTTACGTCACCATTGCTTGCAGTGACAAGTAAATAATACACATCATGTTCGCTTCTTTTGCAAAGCTGTTATGCCGCTGCCAGTTAATTGCTAATTGTATATCTCTGAAATTAATTTATACAGATCGATGGTATGTAACAGCTTTTAAGCTTGTGATTTCTTCACTATATATCATGTACTGTTTGAGTTAACTAATTCTAATTTACTGGCAAACACCGTAGGGAATACCACTAATTTAAGTGCTCTCGAGTTAAAGAAGATAGCAAGCTTGGATGAGGTATGCTTTGCTCAATTGTAAGCAGTAGCAAGCTAAGGTTCAACAGAACCATGAGTACAAGCAGCGGAAGGATGCATCAATCTACAATTGCCATAGGTGATGTAATGCTCTCAAATTTTTGCAAAAGAAAAAAAAAACCTGAAGCGGTGCCACCCGTAATGACATTTGTGCACCAAGTATTTCACTGTAGTTTTACTGCAATATTCAGGGTTTGCATTCTAGAAATTGGGGTTTTTTCCGTGGGGGGAGGGGGCGAAAGAACCAAAATCACTGAATTTATTTGAAAAATTGACGAATTTTGAATGATTTAGAATAAACTTTGACCAAATTCACAAAAACATGAAAAAAGGAGAAATTTCGGGTGAGATATATGCTTGCCGGTGGGGGGGGAGGCAAAATTTTGAAAATTTTGTTCCGAAATTGCAATCACGGGCAAGATTTCCCTAATCGCAATTTCCCCATTGCAATGTTGAGCTTGCTTTTGGCTGTCACTCTAGCTGGTAATCACTTAATTTCGGAATTGTTTCAACGGTTGGTTTGACATGAGCCTATCAGGTTGAAATGTCCTCAAGCTTAAATGTAAGCGTCTCTTTCAGTTTGTATGTATGCACATATAACTCCATAGGTCAAGAGAGTTTTATTCTAGCAGACTTAAATATAAGTGAATATCCCCTTTGTATATACCAATGATCAATTTTGGAGCTCAGGACAATGGAACTATGGCTTCATTTCCTTAAAAAGTGCATCAGTTGAATCCAGTGTATATTCTACAAGTTATAAGCATGGAATTTGATGTTTCTCCTCTGATAATTTGCATTGTTTTTGGGAAGTTTGAATATTTGCTTTGTGCTGATGACTTCTAATTACTAATGATGTAATTCATAAATTTTATCCATCGGCATATGCTTGCTTGGACGGTTTGTTATTTCTTTTTATTTGGACATACGTAGTTTGCTTGAAAATTTTGATGTGGCTAAAAGAGCATTTGGTTTCTTAGGAAGATGCCTGATGCTAATGTCTTCTCAAGCTTTTGGATTGTAAGGTGCTTTTCATGTTTTTAATCCAGTGCTACTATCCATGTTTTAAATCCTTTTCATCACCATTATGGATATATTATTTATTTGTAGCTTCACGAAAAAAGTGTGGACTCCAGGATTAAATTAAATCTTAAAAAGATATACGCTATTCCAATTTCAGATTATGCCTTTTTCATGATTTGATATGTTTCCCTTTTTCCAGTCTAATAGTGGAACCCTTTCCTTGAGGGAATTCCATGAAAGATATTGGTCTCCAGATTTTAAGATTGGTAGATCCTTTCGTGGCTGCCACTTCAACTGCAGGTGTGTGCATAGTTTAGCAATATGACCACTTTAGATTAATATTGTGGTCAAGGAAAATATAGAGGCGTTTTGACAAATGTTAGTGTTTCTGGAATGTTCACACTTGCTATCTACTTTTTTACTTCAATTAAGGCAACTATAGACAATATTCTTTTTGGAATTATATGTGATGACCATTTCTTACAAGTGAAATGGATGTAAATTTGTGTTTTGCAGATCACATGAACTTCTGTGGACCCACGGCAGGAGCTGTATACACCTCATTGGTGATCATGTAAATGCTATTTTTAGTTGCTGGCCATGAAGGATATATTTGAAGTATTGTTGGTGAAGATCTGAGTCTTTTTTCCTGATAAGATATTGTAGGCTGTGGGGTTTAATTCAATACCATAAATACAAATATCTTGCTTTGAGCTTTTCAAGTGTTTATCAAGCTATGACAAATTATATGTTTGGTATTGTTAGCTGCTTTGCATTTTTTTATTGTTTAAAGGAGTATGTTAAGTTACATTATAGTACATATAGTTCTTAAACTTTTTAGTATGTTGTATATTTTGCCTGACATATATTACAGGAAAATGCAAGAAATTTGAAGTGTTTTTATATGATTACTATAACTAATGTGGGAAACGTGCAATGCACGTGCACGATTACTAGTTAACACAAGTGTTCCAGTTTGGTTCGGACTAGATAAGCAAAGTTACCGATGAGAGGCGGTGGCAGGTGCCCGGTGGGCACTTCATGCACGGAATTTCTCAAAATTCTTCATTCATCGAACCATCAGAATCCCACCAGATGTCACACCTGTGGACTCCAAGCTTTTCAGCATTAGTTCATGACTTTTCGACATTTTCCCCCATCGATGTATGTCTCCAAAGATTGCTTTCCCGCAAATCGCCGGTGCAATTCACCAAGTGCAGAACAGCAGAACCCGCACATCAGAAAAACTTTTAAGCGAAGCAAATTATTACAAGAAATACATACAATGTACGCTAAATACACACGATTTTGAATCTTATCTTACTGTGCACACAACGGCTGGAACATTACAGACATCTATATCACCGCTAAAACACTCTTTTCCTCTCCCCAAAACCAAATACCCCAACTTTCCCTAATAATACCCCTTCTTCTGACGCAGACATCCCTCACAAGCTGGTGGCAACTGGCAAGCAACACAACCAGCAAGAAATTCACCAAAAATGTCCCAGCAGCAGTCAGAACCAAACCATAAGAACCTCCAGGCTGTGATCAAGCACTGAAGCTTACGGCAGTGGTCAAAGTATTACACAATGTACATGTGAGCTCTAGTGTTCCATTAAAGCTGTATCGGTTTCAGATAATGGAGCTGCATAACAGATAACATACAGGTAAGTTTGATTTTTTTTTTGGGTGCTGTAACTGCAAACCTGTGAATCAAAACAGAAAGGGATGCACCAAACTTGCCTTCAAAGTACTGCCCTCTCTAAAACAATATGACTTTCAAAAAATGTCGTCATAACTTTTTAAATTTCTACTGCTATTATATATAAATAAATTTTGATTTATCGTAATAGTTGACATCATTAGAATTGCTACACATTTTTTACATCAATATTATACTTTTTATTTTAAATATTATTAGTAAAATAAGTTGTCAAAGTTGATCCATAATGGGTCATTCCATAATTTTGGTGGGATATAAATCTAATTCCTCTTTTTTTTCCTACTGAGCTATGCATTTGAGGGCTTAAGGTATTACGGATCCTCCAACTATCATGTTTCTCAAACCAAATAAGTCATGTCAGATTGAGTGGTCAATCATTCGTCACATTCCTTCAACCCGACAGATCCTTAAATATCAGACTGTTACTGAGGCCTAATCAATTCAGACAACACAAAACCTTAAAGACTTGCATGCATACAATAGTTTGAGCGTACACCTAATAACTACTTAAGCGTGACAATGAGTCTGGGAAGACTTACCAAGCAAGTCCTCGTATGCATCCTGAAATAAAGAAGTCTCCAACAACAGTGGTGGGGAGAATACTTGATCAAGAGCATCATCAGTTATAAATGACTGATGTCCCAGACCACTTACTGGATCAAGCATGCTTGTGACAGTGTTAGGATCATCATGCCCATTAAGTTTACTTGACAGAACAGGAGTTGCATGCATTGGGCTGTCAACATTGAAGTGAAGATCACTGAACTTCATTTGTGGTGATGAAAAACCCAGTTTTTGCATTCTTCTATTATTATCGACGGCATCAATCTCCATCTTTGAAGCACCTGTTGATAGGGGAATAAAGAAGTGCTCTGAACCATCATCACTACTCTGGTCATGTGGCCTCTCTGGGTTTCTTAATGGCTTTGATAGAGCAGCTTCACGAACAGAACGTCTGATGTTATGAGCAAAATAACCCTCATTTTCTGCAAAAATAGATATAGAAAAAAAAATTAGCCAATGTCATTGTCAAAAGTTCAGCTTGTAACCAACGGAACAATAAGGAATTTACAGAAGAAACATATGGTTTAGACAATATAGAAAATACCATGTATTGAGCCATTTGTTTCATCTTTAGTTGAGGGAAGGGGAAGAGTTTTCTCTTCAGACAGGATTTCTTGGCTAGGTTGCCGTCCTAACGCATTCCTTTTTTGTGCCTGTGTTCCTTTTCCAGAAGAACTTGGAGTCAGACTAAATAAAGGTGGTAGCTTTAGAGCAGGACTGCTCCCAGCCTTGTCAAGGTGTGTAGAAGAAAGCTTGGAAGTCATCTCTGAAAGTTCACTGCTGCTTTCCTGTAAAAAGTTATTAGAAAGCAGGAGAATAAATAGACAGACTCAAAGTGACACGCCATAACATGGTGATATAATGTCTTTACACCAAAAGCTGTTGTGGTAACTACAAGAGAAAAGAAGACTCCAATTGGTTGAGGAATACCCCTATGCCACGCGAAGTCCATTATAATGGGGATTGGATTAACATGACAATTAGCTAGGTGTGTATAAAAACAAATTTTGCCAATAATTGGTATTGGGCTTGTATGCATGCATGGACTGCTTCTCATGCATGAATTATGGAGATTACCAACCCTGTTCAACTGGTTCTGTACACCCTTACCCATGCTACAGTTTATTAGCTTGTGCAGGATGAATTCACCCTATTACACAAAGTGCATGCCTCTTGGACCCAATGATTCAAGGACAGCTGATCAAAACAGACACACATTCCTCAATAAGCTGATTAAACGAGCATGGACATTTCACAAACCAAATAGCCCCACTATTTTTCTTTTTAACGAGACTATTTTCTGTATTGATCAAAACATGGTATATCATCATCGAACAAAAAACCAATCCAATATTTTTTTCTTTTTCTTACTTCTGCTCTTCCAAACCCTGAATTTTGCACTGACGGAGACAATCTGGAGATGATTTTATCCATTGGATTACTAGATACGCTATTTACTTCCTCTGACAGATCTGCTATTGACTGCTGCATTGCCGGGATAGCTTCCTTGAGTTGATTAATTAGGCCCTAGAAAATGGTTAGAGAATCAGTCAGTTGACAGATAAAAGTAATCATCAGTAAAATCCACGTGATTCAAACCCCAAGGGTGTTGCTGTGTTACTGGGACTCGGACACAGGAGCCAGTGTCCTACTCAAACTCAGGAGTCCGACTCGGTAAACTCTAAAAAATAGGATTCGGGGACTCACATGTATTATACACTAATAAATAAAATAAAAAGCAGAAATAGGGATAAAGACTCTGGAGACACCCACAGAGCCAAGCAGAGGATCCTTTATGCATAGATAATCCTAGCCAGCTACTCTCGTGAGTAGAGCTTTCACAGACACACATTAATACTTTAGGGCATGTTTGGCACGGCTCCACCTCCACCTCCACCTCTCTTGGAGCTGGAGCCCAGCCAAACAGTTTTAGCTCCATCTAAAATGTGAGTGGAGCTGGGTGGAGCGCATTCATAAAATGAACTAGAAAGGTGGAGTTGGGTATATGCTGCTCCACAACTCCACTCCAGATCCAACTCCCATAGTTAAATTTAGGAGTTAGAGGCTTAGAGCTCTACCAAACAGGTCCTTAGTACTACCTAACAGGCCAACTGTGTGCTAGGCTAAAGGGTAGGGGTGCAGCTGAGCTCTCTCTCTCCTTGATGCTTCTCTCTCCTTTTGCTGCTCCCAAGAAACCACCACAAAGCAAGAAAATACTACCATTTGTCCATCTCCCTCGCTCCCCCCCCTCCCCCACCAAATCCCTTCCTTTAGTTTGGAATTTGGACACGCCTAGCAGGGTCAGATGCGTGTCTCCCCGCGTCAGACAAGCGGACACGAGTCGACACCACAAAAATTTTGGACACTAGTTTTGCAAGCTTAGCTTCCAACCATAGTTGGTTTTACCTGTATACTGACTAAGTGCTGACGATGTTCAGCCAATGTTGCCGTTAATGAGTCAGCATGGGTACTAGTTTCACCATCAGATGCACTTCGGAGTAGTTCTGGTCCATCTCCATCATTTGCTTTGGCCTGTCAAATTAGTACACAGCTACATGTTAGCTAACGGAAGATATTATGCATAAATACTGCACAAGTCTGTTGTGCCTAGGTTTCAGACAAGAGCTGTATTGACCAAGTCCAGGACCCCATCATTGCCCAGGAGCTTGCCTAACCGCCAGCAGACAACATAGAATCCTCTAAAAACTCACCATACCAGTACTTAATATGCATTAGATACCAATATGGCGCCAAATATGCAATGCAACCAACAAATATGGGTGATGCAGAAGATTATTTTATATCCTTGATTTAAAGTGCTCTAGTATTTCCTGAAATAGTGATATCAGAACTGAAAAAATACAGCAAAGGACGGAAAAGAAAACAATTAGAAATTCCTATTGTTTAATTTTCCACAATTTATGGAAAAAATCAGTTCGATAATCATATGGAATTATAGTTTTATGCATACTTAGCCATCTACAATAGTATCAGTTGTGAAACATAAAAATGATGTATAACTTCACTTTTAACACATATCAACGCTAAGCATTGAATGGCACCTATTACAAAACAGTCATATTAACCACCTGCAAGTAAATACTTCATTTAATGTTTTGGAAATGCTATAATACTTCAACCACTAATAAGGGGATTCAAATTATCAATGCTGAAGTTTTAAATGTCTACGAATGATGAGATTAGTATGGCCAGCATACAAGTGTCATTGCTGCTGAAACACCAGGGGAGACAGGAAACAGAATCAGGGGTAGCTAGATCAAGAACCAGAAGTGGATTGGTAACTATGGCAAGATGGCCACAAGGGGCTGCAAAGGAGGCAGGTTGAGATTGGTGGCATTCGAGAGTGTGACAATATGAGCATCGGATAGGTGAAGGGAGCGCCAGAATTGGATCTCCTAATGGTAACACTGAAGGCATAAATGGAGGAATAAGATGAGGAAGACATTGATTTTGAGGATGAAAAAAGGATCTGATAACTTTGATGAAATAAGATGAGGAATAATTGACTAGGAAGTCAATTAGTTGAAGCATGTGAATAGAAGAGCTAGGGTATGTTTCGCATCATTGAAACAACGATTATTTTGGACAAGGATGATGGTTTGCACATCATAGCCAGTTGAGGGTGATCAGACTGCAAGTTTTGTAGTTTACAGCTGAAAGACAGAAAGTCAAACTTTCACAGTGACAGTAGTTGTGAAAGGTTGAATGCACATATTTCTATATGAAAGCAGACGCGTTCAAAACTTCAAATAAATTAAATGCATAAGAATGCCATTAAACTCATCAAAATTAATGTAAGAATAGCGTACCAAATGAAGAGACTGTTTATGAATACGCTGTAAAGCATGAGTCCAACGGCGAAGAATTTCAGCCACATCAACAGTCTGTTGTTGAGCACGTCCATTCCTATCATCTAACCTTGAGAGGGCTTCTTCCTTTCCTTGGAATAGAGCAGACATCTGTTCTTGTTTGTCCAAAAATGGAGACGCTTCACTAGCTCGAGCTGATAGTAACTCAGAATGTGGAACGCTTGAACTCAAATCCATTGCTGCTAGCAATTGAGATCCTGATATACGGTACCTAATATAATCCATTTTGTGAAAAATGATGAGATAATGATAGAACCAGATATACGGATAAACAACAAAGTTGGAGTGGAACACACCTATGCTCACGATGTGCTATAAGATCTTCAATTGGTCCAGAAGCTAAGACCTCATGTTGGCCTGAAAGGTATCACCTATTAATATCTGAAATTAAAAGTACCGCCATGGCCCTCAACGTTATGTAAAGAAACAACATTGTTTGCCAAGGATGGCATAATAATGAAGACCTATAGATTTTATTTTAATAACAAACAGTTTTCAAGTGCAAAATGGACTCAGTTTTACCAGGACTCGATAGGAGAGTCAGAGTCTGATTCGGAATCTGGTGTTTGATCTGGCAAAATATAGAAAAATAGGATTCTAGAATTCTCCTAAAATAAATTATATTATCATAAAAAATAGTAAGAACTAAACATACTCCCATCAAATAAAGATAACTAAGCATTAATCATATTATGCTAGTATAATAAGGACAGCAGAAAGCCTCAGGCTGCAGAAGTGAAGTGCACAAACATGGAGCTGATAAAACAGGTAGAGAAAGCACAAAGAAGCAGAGGAACCTCGTGCATAAAGAAACACAACCAAGACTATGAGTTTGGCATGCATTCATAAACACATTAAAATTTAAAATACTATATGTCCTTCAGAAATAAAAAGCAAATAGGCTTAAAATGGTTAGCCTCAACACATCCTGAACAAAGAGCACAGCAAAGGACCCTCCCCCAGCTTCGACACTGGTATGTGTCACACTGTTGGACGTGACTCAATAAGCCAATGCGTGTCAACCTGCGAAAATTATTTTGGACACGTGCCCTGGTAGCACTGGTGCTATCTCCAGGGTATGGCTTGCTATTAGCATATTTGCTCAGGTTTATCACCAGAATAGTCCACAGACAAAACCAAACCATAAACAAGCCAAGCTTCAGTTGATTTCTCAAAAGAAACTGGTTTTTTTGGGAATGTCATAATGACAAATAATATTCAAGGGCAGAAGGAATGCTGCATTCAGGAAGTATGGATTTCTCCAGAAAAGGAGTTCATTGATTCTCTCCAAACTGTTTGGATTGTAAAATGACCTAGTTGTGCCAGAGAAAAGAATAGAAGAAGCATCTAACTCTTTCATGCTACATGTCCCTTAACCCAAGTACAAGATAACTCATCATACATGATGTGGAACTATACACTATTGTGTCAATTACTAACACAAACTAATCTTAAGCTTGAATTAACTTCATCAGACAACAAAGGGGCATATTCTAATAAAAGCGTACCTTTGCGAGCCAATATTGTTTCCCACAAACGAGTTGCCTTAGACACCAAATGGGAATTCTGTCCAGATGAACTTGAGATACGTTCATCCCAAAGTTCCCCTTCCAGTTTGGATTTGTTTCGCATGTCTTGCAGCTTCTCTAACTCCTGCTGTAGGTAGGCCTGAAAATTCCAGATGAAGTGATAATAAGAACAGGATGCAACACAACTATCTGAATGAACATCACAGAAGTTTCTGTGTACCTCTTCAGCACAAAGACTTCGGAATTCAGCTGTCATTTCATGGGCTAAATTTGACCAGGTTGTTTGCCTTTGAACAGCAATATTTGCATTTTTTAGAAATTTACGCCTCTCAAGAGCTATCCTTGCCTGTTTGGAATAGCACAAGGAGAACATAATTTACAGTTTAAAAATCTCAAATAACTAAATCTGGATTGCTATACAAATGTATAAGGAGAAATATGCTCGTGTATCATGGGAAGTTTCTGCTACAAGGAGGAACAACAGACACATTTTGTTCCCCACTAATAGAAATGGTGCTCCTCATATTCAGACAAGTTATCCTACCAACTATGGACATAAGAAATATTTGATTGCCTACCACAGTATATTACAATCATCACACACTATTAGGCTGCCTCTTACTCAAATCCATATTTGTCTTATGTATTCATGGTCTCTGTATGAACATTATGTTTTATAGCATACAAACATCAACCATAATCAACCTTCCTTATAGACAAGTAAACAAGTCATCAAGAACACCCATTTCAAAAAAAAAAAAATCAAGAGCAACTAAGAATTGGACTTGATATGGGGCCTACTGGATCACCATTCTCAAGAAATGAAGCAATAGAATCTTGCTTCAGCTATTGCACACATATCAATAAACTGAGACTAAGGTGTTATTTTGTTTTCATAATGTAACACCTAACAAAATAACACCTCAGTCTCAGTTATGTTCTCTACAAATAATCTATGCTAGGTGTCAAATGTCTTGAGCATTGCAGGAGTATACAAGTATGCTCACAGGGATAAAAAGCCTCAAACCAAGTATATCCTCTATGAAATTATGTTCTCTACGAATAACCTATTTTAAGACTGATGAACATCTGCGGCAGGGTCATCTTAAGACAGACTAAACAACCAACCAGTTTTCAGAAAATTGAAGAGTCAGCCATCCTTGCCTTAGTCACAGGGAGTAATGCAGCGGCATGTAGATAAGAGACGTCTGTGAGTGCTGCAGGCAGCGGGCTTGATGCAACATCAGCAGCAAATGTTCTCCTGTGGACTTCTCTCAAGGCATGCACAGAGAGTTGCCACAATAGCTCAACAAATCTGCACCGATATAGGGTAGCATTACATCGACGATGATGAAAATGTTCCAATTTATATGATATACTGGAGCAGAAAAAAAAACTATTGAATAGAACTGCAGTCACTTTTCGGGTACATTGCAGATTATTACAGAGATCTGGACTTAGAATGTGGAATCACAAAACAGAATCTAATAAAGAGACAAAGAGAATGCTACGAATGTGGAATCACAAAACAGAATCTAATAAAGAGACAAAGAGAATGCTACCATATAGTATTAGGTTGTGCTCTTCCCCATGGGTTCCCAACCCACCTCCCTCATTTTCCGCGTGCATGCGTTTCAAACCGCTAAATGGTGCACGTTTTGTAAAAAGTTTATATAGGAAAGTTGCTTTAAAAAATTATATTAATCCATTTTCATTTTTTTATAGCTAATTCTTAATTAATCACATGTTAATCTATCGCTCCGTTTTCTGTGTGGAGGGGAGGGGTTCCCAACCCCTCCAAAAGAACACAGCCTTCGGCCATTAGCTATCATTTTTTCTGATAAAACACCCAATTTTCCAAGGTTAAATCAAGATTATTATTTTTTGAAGCCACATCAGCTTCACTAATGTTAACTAACTACTATTGAATTTCATGTGTTGATTGCGAAAATGCATTACACATCAAATATGATCTCTGCCCTTGTTTGGTGAAACAAAGAAACACTAAGGATATAACAACCTGAAACACTTGATATTAGGAATGGCAATGGCACCCCCTACCCAGGTACAAGACATAGAATTCCCGTACTAGGGGGTGAGGGCAAGGAAAATCTATTCCTACAGGAGCAAAAAATGGGTGGACACAATCCCCAACAGTCCTATGCTATGTGGTTTCCTATCTCAAATGTCTCATTTGACTTTACTGCTACACTCTACATGCTCCATTCTGACCCACCTAAAATGTTCCCACCCAGCAATTCTAGCATAACCCTAGATCAATACCTCATGCCACCAGGACCAACCATCGATTCAAGCAACTGCAGGAGTGACGCCACATTTATCTTCTTGTGACAATGGTATGCCCCTTCTCCATTACTCGAATTCAGGGGGTGAGGGCGGGAAATTTTCTTCCTACAGTGGCAGTAAATAGGCGCTATGTGTTGTCCTACCTCCTATGTGTCATTTCAATTTAATGCTCTCCATGGTCCGAAACAACCCATTTCAAATGTAGAATATCCTAGGTCAATACCCCAAACCACCAGGACTGATCAACCGACTCAAGGCGTTGCAGCACAGATAACACACTAAGCTTCTCACGACTCGTAACAACAGTATGCTCCTTCTGCACTATTCCACCACAGCTCATGTGTCCAGCCTCGCCAATGTCACCACACTGCTCCTGCCCTCTACTCCTTTGGTCAACTAGAGCGACCCCATGGTTCTTCTGTCTTGTGTCTGGTAGCTGGAAGCAGCTACCCAAATCAGTATGCTGCCCGTCATCCTTGCTGGCCAGGGGCCTAGCATGGCTGTTCCTCTCCTAGCTGCATAAAGTTCAGCACAATCAAAAGATGTGCCTAATTGCATGGATGAGGCAATACCCAGCAAGATGCCTTACTTAGCTCCTTGAGAAGCACATCAGGCCAGCAAGAGGGGATATGTATTTGCTGATGGCTCCAAGCCATGTACCTCAGGGAGCTCGAGGGTTTAAACTATAAAAGGTTGAGATCAACGCAAAAGATGTAGAACACGGTCTAAAGAAGGGCAAATCAACCAGTGATTGATACGAACTCTCCACAATTTCAATTATGAAATGAAACGTTTCATACGTTTCCAGAATACAATTAAGCTGCATTGCTGCTGAAAGCTGCAAAAATAGTACTAAAAGGTGGTTCAACCCAAGAAAATGCAGCTGTGTGCTTGGTACTAACCTCGGCCCACAGCAGGTGGCGAGTGAAGATACCCTGGAGTTGCTCCGTGGCAGAGCTCCCTGCTGCTCCAGCTCGCTGATGATTCCTTGCACGATCTAAACAACCAACAGATGTCAAGGTCAAAGCATCAATATGCTTCTGCACGTAGTAAATTATCCGAGAAGCAAACTAGATCTGCAAAATCTTACCTTCCTAAACTCTCTGGATTGTGCGGAGTCGAAGATCGGCCACACCTTATCAAAGTCCTGAGAGTCCAACGAAATAAATCAAATACGATTTACAGAAAACCTAGAAACAAAATCAAAAAAGAAGAAGAAGAGGGCATCAGTGCACGTGCCTTGGCGGACTGCGCGGGCCCGCGGAGCGAAGAGAGGAGGAAGTAGAGGAGCTGTTCACCGAGGCGGGGATTGGAGTGGCGGAAGAGGCCGACGCGAGGGCCGGCGGCGGGGGACGAGGGGGAACCGAGGACGGCGAGATCGAGGCCGAGGAGGAGGCAGTTGGTGTACATGGCGCTCTCCAGCTCCGCTTCCCGCTCCTTCTCCCGATCCGTCGCCATGGCCGCGCACTCCCGCCGCTGCTAGTCTCGCGCGGGGGTGGATGCGCTGCGGCTAGGTTTAGGGGGCGGCTGGCGTAATCGGAGTCGGAGATCTCAGTGAGGCCGAGGTGGTGGGATGGGAGAGAAACAAAACTCCAAAAAGCATTGCGAGCCGAGAGGAGCGGGTCCAGTCGCGAATATCAGATCTATGCGAGGGGGACGCGATAACTTTGGATAGCTCCGCCTCCGCGCGGGGGCGGGCACGACGCGAGACGGCAACGGGAGCCCGTGAAGGCGAAAGCGCGCTGTGTGCCCGGCGCGCGGCGGCCGTCGCGGGCGGCAGCGGTGAACCCTAGCGGCCTGGAATGGGGGTATGACCGGCTGCGCGGAGGTGGGAGAAAGCTGCGGATGGGTTGGGTTGGGTGCGCAGAGGGAAGGAGGGGAGGGAGGGGAAAGGAGTCCAAATTTTATTACAAGTATAATATGTGCGTATTTCGAAACGACCTTTTTGAGCGGCATGGCGGCAGATCAAAAATTCGTCCCGTTCCCAAAGGGAATTTCATATAAGAGTAAATTTCCTACGTACCCTAAAAACTCACTCAATCCCTTTCATACCTCTGAAATTTACCCGATCTCTTCTATACCCCTGAAATTTCAATTTGATCCCTTCCATGCCCCTACCGTTACATTTTCCATCATTTCACTGTTACATTTGGTTGCAAATGTCCTTTTTGCCCTTGATGCTTTGGGTTCAAATATAAGCTTAAAAAATAATTAAAAATTTTGTTTGAGTGTACAGTATGTGCATTTTATAAATATAAAGAGACTAAATAATTAGTGCAAAAAATTTTGACATAAATTTTGAAAATAAAATAAATGTAATAAATTAAAATTTTTATTTGAAATTTTAATAGTACAATGGATTTTTTTTATCGGGAGCATTCATTAAAAGAATGTTGTGAACATTGGTAGTTCTATTTTTATATGAATGCTCCTCATTTTTATGACTTTTTTTTAAAAAAATAAATATGTATTTTTATTTCATTATCTAACAATATTTTTTGGGATAAATAATGCATCGAATAACAAACTCATAACTATAATAGTCTCATGCGAGAAGCTTTTATATTTTTAATAATGTAACTCATGAATTTCTTTGTTCATCCAAGGGTAAAATGGTCATTTTTATGGAAAATAGACGGTCAACTAACGGTCAACTGACGGGAGGGGTATGGAAGGGATCAAAATCAAATTTTAGGGGTATACAAGGAAGTAAGCAAAATTTAGGGGTATAGAAGCGATTAGGTAAAATTTGAGGGTATACAAGGGATTTTCTCTTCATATAAATATGTCGATATTTTTAAATAGGTCCACCCAGATTTATAGCACATGATTCTTATTTTTAAGAAGTCATTTTAAGATATTTTATGAACCGTGAAATTTATTGATCATATTAGTTTTTCAAAATAATGAAGATTTTAACCAACAACTTTAATCAAGAAATCCACGATTAAAAAATTTCTTCTACACTCCATATTTTAAAATTTTAAGTAAATATGCGCTGAACATTTGCAAATTTATAAGGATGGGGATTTATAAAACTTTATAATCATAATGTCCTTTTACCACTGTCCCATCTATACTCATTTCTCTGTTGCCATTATCATCAGCTAACGTTAGTTGGTTGTTGACGATCCTTAAATCATAATATATGACCGTCAATTCCTACATATAATAGAATAAAATATGGTATTCAACTTAGTGGTAGGGTTTATTACTAATCATTTCCACTAGTGTGGATTAAAATATGTGTATACAGGTATTTTAAAGAGAAAACACACCTGTCATGCGACAAAATGCAACTTCGGACAATTAGGACGCGTTTGCATGAATTGGAGGGCCCATATGTCAATAAAACCACTTAGAATTGGGCCAAATCATAATACATGATGTTGGGGGGCCATTAAGCTACCTCCCAGCCAAAGGGAGGGTTTTTGGGTTTGGCCGAACACATCCGGAGGCCGCTGATCGCCATCTTCCACATGTACGCTCCTGATTTCATCCCAATAGGTGTAACCATCATTTGGAGCCTATAAAAGGAGGAGCTCACTTCATTCCAACACCCACAACTTTGAGCTGAATTACAAGAGACTCTATTGTATCTTTTGTATGTTATAAAATAGGTAGAGTGAAGGGAAGCTTTGGAGGAGTGACCGGAAGGTTGGCGCTCTCTCTGACTTCTACCTCGGCTAGTGTAGCTTTCTAAGAGGAATTCTAGAGGAGTACCGGAGTTGTCGATACACTCTACTCTGGGTTCGGAGAAACTTCTTCTATAAAGTAAGCATTCGGGATCATTTCTGATGTTATTTAATTACTAGAAAATATGTCCGTGCGTTGCAACGAGTGAAGTCTATTTTAATCTTATTATTGTTATATGGTTTGGTTAAGATGAAATTCACTGTGGGAGTTCGCTTGGATATATCTATTTTTAGAAAATCATGAGCTGCAGTTAGGAGTCCGATCGTCTCAAGTTAGTATGCGAGTTTTTTTAAACAGATTTCTTATATGATTCCTTCTGTATTGCTAAAAGTGAACGATCTTAAAAACCGACTCAAATACAGATATATATTTCCAAAAGCAAACGAACTTAAAAACCGACTCATACACGGATGACGTACCAAAATACCGACAAAACATCTCCAATTTTTGTAACAGTAGAGATTTAGTCTAAGTAAGATAGATTTCCATATTTATGGGTTCATTGTTTAGTATTCATACTAAGTACTCTAGTACTAGGACTCCGGATAAAGAAGGAAGTTCCTAGGCAAGTATTAGAGTAGTAATTAATAACTTAAATGTGGTGTCTAAGTTACCTTTATTTGTTGTGTATCCCATGAATTTGTCAGAGGTAAACGACAGGTGGTGACAACCATGAATCCCGTCCTAGTAACCCTCCACGTTAGGGTACATCATAGAGCTATAGCGGAACCACGCTGGCAGACCAGATAGGAATTTACCTTTAACTTAGGTTGGATAACTAAAACACATAGAAAGTCATCTCTAGCCTAGCTAGCCTACCAATAGTTGTTGTCCTTGGATAGTCTTAGCCTTAAGTAGATTACACATGTTCCCTGAGTTTGATATCCTTTTGGGGTCACCCGAAGGTGAAGTGCTACATCGGTATTCCGTGCGCTTGCGGATTTATCAATGGTCGTAAGAAATACCAACAAGCATCTCTAGCGTCGTTGCCGGGGAACGGTTGCTAATTTATCTGAGTCTAGGTCATCCTCGTATCTTTATTTTTTATTTCTTCTTCTTTTATTCCTTTCCTTGATGAAGCAACCCACAATTTAAAACCTTTCTGCTCCTCAGGTTGATCTTTGTGAGCTGTCCTGTTCTTCAAAACCAATCATTTCGGATGGCTACGAAATCAGTCCTAGCTTTATAGCCATGATTCAAGAGCAAAACTTCGCTGGTAGTCAGGGTTGGCAACGGGGCAGGGTGGGGGCGGGTTGGACAAGAATGCCCCCACCCCCGATCGCTAGCTCTTCCACCCAGCCCCGGCCCCGAAGCAGAAATCGAAGCCAAAGTTGCCCTCGTCCGTAGCCCCGTCGGGCCCCCGAAACTTGGTCGGGGGCCCGAAGGTAGGGAGCCTGATGACCGGCGACGTGTTGAGGAGGGGAGAGGCTAGCGAGGTGCGAAGAGAGAAAAGACCGCAAGTAAGGGAGAGGGCCAACATGGTGTGGAAGGAAAGAAGTTGTCGATGAGCTTTGGACGGAGAAGAAGCTGGAGCGTGGAGCGGAAGCGAGACCTGCTCTCGTCATCATGCCGTGGGAGAGAGACTACAAAAATACCGTGGGAGAGAGGCCACGCCAGCAGCGGCGCAGGCGCGCGATGCTGCCGAGATGGGAAGTCGGCGACGGTGCAGAGGTGGATGGGACGCGATGATGCAGATGTTGATGGGATATGACGACGCGGACGCATGGAGCACCGAGTAGTCCGGAGTCCCTCGATAGAAGATCTGCACGAGTGGATAAGGTCGGTGATGTCAAGGGATTTCTTCACAGTTGTATACATGTTCACCAATTTGGGCCTATTGGGTTTTATTTTGATTGGGCCATATAATGGGATATACACTTTCGGGGCCCCATAGGGTCACCCGTGGGTTAATTTTCACAACCCGCCCCCACCCCCGCCCCCAGTAACAATCGGAGCCCTGACCCGACTCACCCATGGGGCAAAAAACAGCCTCATCCCCGGCCCCATATGTGGGTGTTGGCATATATTAAATGCCGATTCTATACTGCCAACATCTATATAAAGTCCCGATAATAAAGCATCAAACATAGTGATAGGTGTTAAAATCTCACATATTCCACAAGTGTTGGTGTATATTTGTATGTAGGTGATGAACCCCGAAGTTGGGAGGAAAATCACACTAAAGTGAGAGAAAATATGTATCCATACAAGGATAGATTGTGGACTTCATCAAAATACCCGAGAGTCAGCCCAAAACTTCGAGAAATGGATAAAGGAGGGCCAGAAGAGGAGCTAGGCCAAAGGCCAGGCCAAGGGGTCCCAGCCCAGGTTCGGCCTAACCCCCTGGTTTGGGCGAACCCTGGTGATCGCCGTTGATCCCAGGTTTTGGCGTGGACGCTCCAGATCACCCCCTGATGACGGTTGCGGGGCAGTTCGGACAATTCCCCTTCCTATAACCGTCATACCTATCCTATAAATAGACATCACTTTATTCACTCTCACAAACACTTTCAAGCTTGAGCTGAATTATAAGAGGCTCTATCGTACTATATTGTATACTAGAATAGGAAGAGAGTAGAGTAGAAGAAGTCGAATGAATTCCGGAGTTGTCGGTAATCTTCTCTCATTTCTTTTATTTTGTTTATTACTCTAATTTCAATATAATATTCTTCCTGAGTAATTTAGATTTATCTTGTGAGAATTATCTCTTGGTTAGTTCCTAAATAGCATACGGGATTATTGTTCACTATAATCAACTAAAATATAGTGATTGCTTTGGTGAGTTATAAACACTAAAGTAGATATTAATTACTTAGACGTGGTGTTTAGGTAATTGTTATCCAGTAATTGCTGCGTATCCCACAGTACGTTTAAGGTAGGTGTAGAGGTGGTGACAGCCATCGAGATCACTTAAGTCCTCCCTGTCCGAGTACGTAGTAGAGCAATATCTGGGAACAACAGGTTGTCAATGCCTGAAGTATTGCGTTAGGATTAAACTTAAGCTTTCACTAGACACTATTTCTCACCAGTAAATCATCTATATCCTAGGCTATCCTTTGCTTGGTGTCCTTGGATGAACCGGAGGAAAATCTGACCACACACGTTCCCTTGGATTCGATACCCTTTGGAATACTCCGTAGGGAAGTGCTACATCGGTATATCTGTGCGCTTGCGGATTTTATCTGCGACCGTAAGAATTACCAACAGTGGGATTCTAGA